AAGTAAAAGTTTGTTACAATGGGGATCAATTAAGACCCTTACTGTAGGGGTTTATCAAATCAGTTAGCATTCGCGAATAAGCTAAGCTTCCAATCGCAGGCAACAGGCGACAACGAATAAATTTGTTCGAAGTGTCTTTCTCAATTATCAACGAACGACATGCAGGCTTCGTGGCTGACTCAGTTTGTCTTTGTGACCCTGTAAATATTCCTGGTGTTCACGGTGGCGAACAAAGACTTTTGTGCAAACGTTTTAGAAACTCAAGTCGGTAAGTAATAGGCTTCTTCATTAACAACGTCCACATGCATATGCCTTCTAACAGATTTTGCCTTACTCGGGCACTTCATTAACAAAACTGATGTTTTTGACGAGTTTGAATGTCACTTAAAATGTATGGGAAACAGTGGTTGCAAAACATACAAAGTTCATCCCAATGGCTTTGGTGGTAAGCTCATTTGTGAGCAGAACAGCAAGAGCAAGCAGATGAAGCCAGGTGATTTTAAACGGAAGAAAGGATCTACGTTGTTCAGCTACGTACTTTAGCTCAGTTTATAACCCATTTACCTTTACTAAATACCATTTTCTTTTAATTTACCATCCGCATTTGAACATTACTATGACATTGGCGCAAAATATTGTCATGAAATGGTTCTTTCAGATCATTAAGTGAAGGTTGCTTTGTACTTTGATTTTTTTGGAAGCTAAGAAAGGTTCGGGCTCCTAACATCCTGCTCGCTTATGCAAGGTGATCCGGGACACTGGGGACTCCATAGGAGAAGGGGAGACGGGGACTACTGAATCAACCCCGAAAGCAATGGAAACCCTTTAAAGGTCCACTGTGACATGACAACTGATGGAGGTAAGCTATTAGAATTAACTTCCGTGTCGAGTGTAAACATACAAGTCCAATTTCAAAAGAAACGTTAAGAGAGAACAGAGTGAATAGAACTATGCGATATTGTCGTGATGATTTTCTTTCTTAGGTCCATAGTAAGATTACTTCCTGTAACTAACGGGAAGTAAAATTCATGTATTTGTGTCACAGCATAGGCACGTCATTTGAATACTTGTGCCTCGGACAACTTGCGTCCGTTCGTTAACTAATTGTGGTTATAATGTACCGATCAATTGGAAGCTTCAACATCCCCTCGGACAACCTTCTTCCCCCACCCCCCCGCCCTCGGCATTTGACCTTGAGAAGATTGATTTGTTAAAAATTACGGGGCAAAGACTGTTCTCAAATTCCCCAAGTTAAAGGAATGTGTAATATAGTGCGTTTCGACGAGCTCGAGTAATCGGTTTCTGTAGAATGTAAAGTTGTCTATGTAGTTGATTCTATCCATTTGAGGAAAATACGATAAAATTAAAATTTTTGAACAACCAGGCATGTCTCTTAAAACTTTGGTCCAACGTGTTTATGACCATACACTCGTTTTTTGTAAGAACGTCTAACTTTGGGGCTGAGGTAACTGTCCACCTACCCCTCCCCTAACCCAACATTAACCCTAACTCGTTATCTATTGGCTGTTGTTGAGTTAGGGGAGGGGTAGGAGGGCAGTTGCCCAGATACTGATATTGATCCAAAGTTCCTTACGTTAAAACGTACATGAGAAATCAATGGTAAAACGTAAACAAATGATTATAGACCAAGCGATAGTCTCAAAGAATGTGCACCATGGCGAGCGAAAAGAAAGCAAACGAAAACAATGTTGAAATTATTAATGTCAACACACAAAAAACTATCTCTAAGAGAGTAGGAAAATGCTGAAGTGTGGTCCTTACTCCAAAGACTGTTTGATAGTATTGCGAAATGTCTCATTCCAGGAGGCTGGCTACTTGTTGCAAACTTTGTTTCGAACTTTACTTCACCCTCACGCTGGACCGCTGAGTCATCATACCGCGGAGTCAGAAACTTTACCAACAACAAGATGGGTATCACAGTGAGCGCACTGAAAGAACTCAGGTCACACTTGTCTTTCACTCAGCTGAGATTCCACTGCAGTAAGAAACAAGGTCGTACGTTCCGCGTGACCACGGTCAGTAACAGCACCGGTGAAGCTGTGGTTGAGTACTTCAGCGGCCAGACGGATGTGCATCCTGATTCATGTGGGTCTTTTCAGAGAATGGAAGACGACAACTCCAAGTTGGCCATGGAGTGTGGGAGTTTTTTCGCCAGGAGATTTTTGGAAAATCTATGCGCGCTAACTAATTAGTTCAAACAAATATCAAAACAATTTTTGATTTAGTTTTGACCTAGTTTTGAAACAAACAAATTGCGTTCAGTCCTTCGTTTTTTGACGCAATAACTAGTTTCTATGAATTACCTCGACTTCTAAAGACACCAGTCATTATTTTTTCTTGGGGGGAAAGGGGCCTAGAAGTCTGGGAGGATCACATGGATTTCAGGTTGAACTGAGGGGGAATCAGTCGTCGTTTATAGAGTGTAGAGGAAATTGACTGCCAATTAACTGCCAATGATATCATAAGAATTTATAAGTAAATTACCGAGCCTAATGGGAGAATTTGGTAAATTTTATTGTGACACAACCAGAACCCTCCTTACAGAATACAACATAAAGCTGACAGAATACAACATAAAATATACAAAAAAACAAAACAAAAAAAAAAAGAACTAATAGACAAAAAAAGTGACAGGACATAGCAGGATGTGTTTCTCTAAGAACTTCGACTCAACCAAATATATTGACGACTACCAAAACATCATAAGGGAATCTCTTGCTATTATATATACCGACTAATTTACGAAGGAAAACCGGTTTTAATCGTTGACTTAACGGCGCATGTGTTCGTTGATAAATACTTTGTGCATTTATAAAACAAACGTTTCCAAGATGATCAGGTCCTCATATCTTTGAATATTCCATTCAGATTAGTATTTGTCCGTTTGTTTATTTCGCACTCGATATCGTGTTATGACAAGTGAACTGAATAATTTATTAGAGTTAGTCCGTTTAAATTTGAATTAGTCCATACAGTCGCTGCTAAATTTTTGAAATGTGTTTGTATTGACATCTAGTGTACATAAGCATTACAGCTCGTCTGTTTCTGACATTGAATGCGAACCAGAGTAAAATTAGCTTAGAGCAATCTAGAGCGCATTTGAACTAAATTTTATACAGTCACACGGAGACGACATTTTTGCACATACAACTGACACCATACATATAGCAGTTCATGAGATTAAAACCTCAGTTGTAAGATTTTCATGTTTGTAAGATTTTTCTCAGCACTGGTTTGTCCTCATAATGATCGGTGTTATATCGTTATACACTTTCCTTTCAATGAAATAGCGATATGAAGTAGTTTGTCATATCTTGTTTATACGTTGGCAATTTGCATGATGTCAGGGACAATTAAGGATTTTTTTGGGAGAGTATTGAACATCATTATCATTATAACAGTATCTGAACTTTGTAGTGATGCAATCTATATGCTATATACATATATATGTATGTGTCTGTAATGAGGGTTTGTCATCTAATGTGTGAAATATAATTTAAAGCTTCAATATTCTCACAAATAGAAGTATATTGGTTTACATAAACTATTTACATTGTTGGTGTAATATGGTCAAATAAAAGTTTTTTGCGGTGTAGCTTGAAATCCTATTTCACACTGTTTAGAGAAATCTACACCAAGGTAAATAAGTCAGCTGTCAATTATGAATGAACTAAACCTTCCTCCTCATGCAACTTTTTTTAGTCCATCGTTAGGTTTTGGGCAGTGACAACTCAAATATGCCAAAGATTCGCATAGAAGCCACACAAAACGGATTATGACAGTGTACTTGGAAATTGTCAGAACTACATAACAATAACTTTGTGGCGACTATTTCATAATAGTACTGAGTTATTTGAAAAATGAAATAACCACGAGATCGATTATGTGACATGGAAAAGCGAGATGGCTGAGCGAAGTCGTGTAGCTTTTAATTATCAGCCGTTTAGAGATCATTGTGTGGTCTATTCAGTCTTATATCCATATAATAAAAATAAAAGCTTGTTACACTGGGGATCAATCAAGACCCTTTCTGTGGAGGTTTCGTTGCTGACACAGTTTCTCTTCGTGACTCTTAATGTATCCTTGACCGGTGAATAGAGACTTTTTGGAAGCTTAATCAGCTGTCAATAATAAATGAACTAAACTTTCCCCCTGCGGCAACTTTGTTATATCTATTGTGAGGATTTGGGCAGAAACAAACCAAAACTATCATAAAGATAATTTGTGCCCCACCATTATCGAGTTTTTGAGGCATAAACAACCAGGAGATCGCCAGTGTAGAATGGAAAGACCAGTGGGTCTTGGTGAAGTCTGGCATC